CTTACTTCAAGTCAACATTAGCAGTAGCTTCATCAAGTATTAGGATCAGATTCTTTTTTAAAAGAGCTCTTGCTAAACAGAAGAGCTGTCTCTGGCCTACACTGAAGTTGCTTCCTCCCTCGTTGACCAATGCTAGTAGTCCATCATCAAGAGCTTCCACTACTACCTTTAACTGAACCTTTAAAGAATAGAGACTAATTCATTTAATAGTCTGTTGTCTTTCAATACTTGTTCTAGAGCTCTCCACAACTCAGTATCATTGTACACGCTAAAAGGATCGAGATTATAACGGACTGTGCCTCCAAACAAAACTGGATCCTATAAACAACCCACTCAATAAGAGAAACAAGCTAATGTATCCAGTACTTGAGGTATTATGGACATGTTCCTACGTAGATCATGAAGGCCAAGTAGTGTCACATCAACCTCATCAATAACAATGCTCCCTTCAGCTATTGGTGCTAGTCTAAATAATGCAGACACTAATGACGTCTTCCCTGCACCAGTTCTGCCTACTATACCAACCTGCAAGAATTAGGAGTGCCTTTTAGTTAAGTATACCGGTACTCTACCTTTTCACCAGATTTTATCACGCATGATACATTCTTTAGTACTAGAGGCCCATCAGATGAATGACTGTAACACAAATCATTGAATGTTATGCTTCCTTTATTGGGCCAGCCATCAGGAAGAGGAGGTGATGGAGGCTTTGTCTCAAGTGGTGGCTCAACTTCTAATTTACCATAAGCCATTACACGCTCTGGAGACACCATCTATGGAGTGACATAAGCTATAGTTTCTATTATAATAAAATAATTTAAACTTACAAGACCCTCAACATCAGTGCTAGTTCTGAGAAAGTAAGACACTAAATCTGTGACTGATAATACATATGTTAATGACAACGACAGCAATGCTGAATTGAATGCTAAAAAGGATAAAATGATTTTAAAAATTAAAAAGACTGCAAAATTTTACAGGAAGTGAAAAAGGTGTAAACAAGATTATAGTTTCGCCCTGCCCCTTCGCAAAGGGGTGTGGCGAGACTAACAAGATTATATAAGGTGTGAACAAGATTGTACAAGGTGTGAAAATGGTTTTAAAAGAAACAATGACTAAAAAATTTATTTATTTTGCCTACTGTTTGATAATGCAACTGCTGACAGTAAGGTTCCCGTTGCAAACATGAAACCCAAAATATCAAGACGCATTGAAAACCACCTACAAAAACAAAACAATTCATTAGTGAGAATATAATTAATTTTATAAATTTTATATAATGCACCTTGATGATGCAGTGAAGAGATACCAAGCCTGTGTGTGCCTATTCTGATATTCATGGAGCCTCTCTATCATCACAGATTGCATTGAGTTTGAGCGAATTGTTGATAATCCTTGGAGTGTCAATGACAATTGAGAGTATATTGGACTACGAGCTTTATTAATATAAAAAATAATAAAAAACAATAAAAATAATAATATAATAGTATTACAAGTGTAAACCTACCTAAAGCCTCTAGTCTCTTCACATCTCTAGCAGTTCTAATGTAATACCATCTAATGATTAAAAATACCACACAGACAAATAAAAAACCAGGAGCAAGATAATAATTAGCTGCTATAGCCGACAAGAATAAAGACAAACATCTAATGAACAACTGAGACAAAGGAACACGCTAAACAATCAAAAAAATATCAACAATTTTCTTACCAAAGAGAATCGAGTGAATGTCTTCACTAATAAATCATCCATGAAACCCACATCCTTTGAAAATCGATTCAATATACGACCTAAAAGCATAAAAACTACTAAGCACTTAAGCAAGGACAGCCATTACCAATAGGATTGGTATCAAAGAAGTATATTGGAGCTCTCAGGACGTGAGAAAACATCTTATTGTGAAGGACACGGGAGGCTCTCACTAGCAATACTGCCAATAATAAAGACTGAGCACACGATAGTAGTATGACACTAGCAGCAAGACCACTGTATATCTGAATCCTCTCAAATTTACTCAAAGAACATGTGGAGTGATTAAGGACAGAGCACTGTGACCTTTAACATAATAAAATATAAGTTTATTAATTGCTTTTAATAAATAGTACAGCATACCAGTCAGCTACCCACCAATCTGTAGCAACAACGTTTGCCTAATGAAATGAATAATAATGATAATACACACATTAATGTGCATTAATATTTTACTTCAGATATGAATAAGAGTGCAATACATATTAATGTGAATACATATCCACCTCCAGCTTTGAAATAATTAACGTATGTCTTGATGGAGACGATTCCATGTGAACGTTCCTCTCCTACTTCCTTATTAGTCCCTTCATTGATTTCCTGCTAATAGAAATAAATTATAAATATTATCAGTTGGCTATTAAGTCTCAATACAAATAGAAAAAGCTATTAAATTAATTAATTTGGTCATTAAAATGAACTAGAGAGTGCTGTCTCTTTGTCATATTACTCCCAATTTTTATTACATTTTCTGATACATATTGATGTCCTTATGCTATATAAAAAGTTTGAGTTGCTTCTGAAAATTGGGTTATATTTTTAAAAACTCTTTGGCACAATTTTTGAAAAATTAATTCGTAAAAAATCTAAATTGAATCAGAATCTGCTCAAACTTTCTACACAACATAAAAACATGAATATGTATTAGAAAAAATTATAAAAATAAAAAATGTTCACTTTTCAATTTTCGGCAAAATTTGGCCTAAGACCCTGTACTATAGTACAGGGACTTTGGCCCAATTTTTGAGCAACTTTGAAAATTCTTTTAAAAATCTAAATTTAATCAGAATCTGCTCAAACTTCTTAAACAACATCAAAACATGAATATGTATTAGGAAAAAATATAAAAATAAAAAATTCTCACTTTTCAATTTTCGACAAAATTTGGCCTAAGACCCTGTA